AACTCCATTTTAAGTTTTCTTTTCCTGCACCCTCTATCCCTAGTATGATCAGAGGTCAGCAGAGGGGTTTGATGCTATTCAGCTTCCTGAGTAAAGACTAGAAGGGGACTAAGCTTGGTGTGAGGGAGTCAGAGAAAAACAAAACCCAAGAAAAGGCTTTTTTTTAACCTCTCAGAGGACATTCTAGAGGATACTGTTGTAGCTGGAGTAAATTCTATTTAAATCAGTAATCTTAAAAAGTATTTAAAATTAACTTCTGTTTCCAGTACATTCTTCAACCTCAGTGTTGAATCTTTGAATTAACTAAAAATGCCTTTAGCAACAAACAGTACAATAGTAGATGGGGTTTGGAAATGGAAGTTTTCTATATTGAGAGTTTTAATTCTTCAATAATCTGAAAATGCTTATGGAAATAGGAATATCAGGTTTCAGAAACTCTGATAGATACACAGCCATATAGGTTAAAATCTCAATTTTAGTAATGTAGTTTTTTGGATCACAAATCTTAGCATTTCTACTAAATCATAATGTCAGGGCACTTTTTAAATGGTCTGGTTGATTTAATGCTAGAAAATAGATGAATAGAAGAAATTGAGGCTGCAGAAGGAGACTGAAACATAAATGGTAATTTAGTATTTTATGAAGGGCATGTGTTCAGTCAGTGTGGAGAAGATGGGTTTTTCATTGAACAGTATTAGAAACTATAGATTAGCCAGTTGGGGAAAAACCAAGTTGGATTCCCAAAAGAGAATTTTGTTTTGTCATCTTGAGATGTTATGAAGTCTGAAACTATAAGGGAAAGATGGATACATTTTTCTATATAAAAACTTAAAATATTAGTGTGTCAAAAATTCCCGTACATAAAATAAGACAAAAATGGGGACAAAATATTTGCAGCCAGTATGATGAAGAGTAGGTTCTCTTTATATGTAGTTCATCATGATTGAAAAGAGCTATACCAATAGGTCAGTGGAAAATGGGCAAAGGACATTTTCTTGCGGGCTTCTAATCCTGTGGCAGTTACTCATCCTCACTCAGAACTCAAGAGATGCAGAGTTAAGAAATCCTTATAAACCTCCTGGATAATTGAACATCTGAAGATGTGAAAGCACATCCCAGCAGTGCTGGTTCTGAAAGTGTATTGGACCAATACATTTGCCTATGTACAAAGACATAAAGAAAGCCAGACCCAGCTAGACTTCCTCGGTAAGGTACTGGCTAACTCATTGTTCTTCTTTGCAACGGAATGATGTAGAGCTGAGGGAAGAGAACTGAGGTAGTTCAGTGTGTGCTGATGTGGAGTTATCTCCAAGAGAGACCAAGTGGAAGAGCAAGTGTGATATGAAGGTTTCCATAGTGTGATTTTTAAAAAAGAAGTGTGTTTTACATTTGTTTTAAAGCTTAGATGTACAGAGTAGTTTTAGAAGAAGCCGGGAGACTGAACACTCTTATCTTAGTTTGAGGGCTAGCGTGGGTCAAGAGACCTTTTTGTACTGTGAAAATTTACCACGTACAGGAATTACTTTTCAGTAAAAAGACACCCCTCCCGTATCTCCTTAAAAATCATTTTTGATTTTACAGATGGCTCCTTTTGAAATGTTTGATAACTAGTGCTGTAAACGTGTGAAGGAGGTCCTCCTGTCCTGAAGAAAGTAGGGTCACCTGGAGCAGCCATGTTTGTAGGAGGGTGATCTGTCAGGGTGCTGTCAGCATGTCACATGCACATGTGTATGCACTTGTTTCAGAACTCTGGTGCTGGGAATGTGTCTTAGGCATGTGTGCAAATGAGGACACAGAAAAGATGCTCATTAAAAAAAGAAAAGAAAGAAGATGCTCATTGCAGCTTTTTTTAAGTGAGAAGAGGAGGGTATAGTGGAGCTGTTTATTAATGGGGGCTACTTACACTAATTGTAATCCTGTCGTACAGTGAATGGTGTTTTGTGGAGCTCTAAGCAGATACTGCTGGGTGTTACAGAGGGAGATTTTTACCTTAAAAAGTTTTTTTTAAATAATGGCTTTAAGACATAATTCACAAGTCATAAAATTTATCCTTCCTTTAAATTTTTTATACGTGTGTATCAGTAATGTTTCAGTGTGCATGGATTACTTTAATAATTAAAAGCAAATGTGGCCTGACTTTAAAATGCCAGGCTGAAATAACTATTTTCTTAGTTATGCAGAATAAACTTAGAAGGAAAAATAAAGTCCTTACTCAGAATGTAGATTTGTTAAAAGAAATTGATGCAAATGAATTTTTAAATCTTTTTGGTAGGTAATACATGGTTACTGTTACAGATTCCAGGTGAAAATTCTCCCCTTTCCATATGACTGGCCATCTGGTACCTCTCTATGGAGGTCACTTGTATCTTTCAAAGATAGTCCACTCAGGATGAACATACATATTTATCACATTTATTGTGATTTTTCTTGTCAAAATGGCAATTTTGATAAACCAGAACACTTCAGAAGCTTTTTGGCTAGAAGTGGTGAGTGGGCTGACTCTTGCTATTGCTGGCCTGTTGCTGCCTCCTGTTGACCTGCTGTTGGCTCTAGGCTCCTAGCCTACCACGTAGCCCATGAACTGTTCAGTTCCCAAGCTGGGACTAGTAGCTCCCGTATTGAGCTTGATTTCTGGAGTTACTACAGTGGAGTCATCACTATTGGAAGATGTACACATGTTTCACTTTTACAAATTGTGAACCATCACTAATCCATGATTTGTTCTGATTTTTCTTAGTAACTTATATTTGTGTATCTCACCAAGTATTTTAGAAAATAGTAGAATCTTTTCACTGTTGGTAATAAATCTGTGAGGTGGTCCAACCATTTATCTCCAAAGTCTCTGAAAGTGCAGTAAGATTGATGTTATTTGCCAGAATTAATGGAAGCTGCACCAAATGACACTGGGAGAGGATCATTCTGTTTAATGGGTCAGTCAGGTATTTACGAGCTGTTTTTATCCAGGTTATATTAGCTGACAAAAACGTGTAACATTTACTTTATTTTAATATTGAAAAAAAATTTAATTAAATATATTAAATATAACAGGCATTTGAATTAAATGATCTTTATCTTCTTTATCATCTTTACATCTTTATCATCTATCATGTTTACAAGGGGTGTTTTAAGAGCATATTATAGTCAGATCAACATGAAAGCTTTGCACACTAGATGCCTTTCATCAAAAAACTTAAAACAAGTTTTTAGTGGATTTATTAATTCTTGATGCATTAGTTTAAAAGAAAATTCTGTCTATACAGAAGGTAACATAACTATTAAAACTTGTTTTATTTCTTGGTTAGTTCCTGAACTGACCTTAGGTGACATTTGACTTGTTCAGTACATGTTTCATAAGAGCTCATCAGCCCTTTATACAATTTTAAAATACTTACAGACTTTGAATCTCCTCTAAGCAATTTGTAAGAAATTGTCCTAGAAGAATATCTGCCTGTGTATGAGAACACTTAAGGTGTTTATTGTGTTGTTTTGAATTAGTGAAAAGTGAAAAATGCAAGTATGTATTTATTGGAATGGTTATAGTTGTGTTAAGACAGTGAAATAAATACTGCTCAGCTGTAGATCATAGAAGATGTGTGCATTGGTGTAATAATGAAAAAAAACTTGAAAATCTGTCCTAAGTGAAATTAAAGTTATGTGCTTGTATATGCATTTTAATACAGTTTAAAAAGGTATATACTAAGCTCTTAACTGATTATTTTTTAGGGGAGGAGAAAGAATTGCATTTTCTAAGTTATATAAAAGTTTAAGGTTTGGTCAGATTGCTAATATAGTAGGCAGAGATAAAAGTTTAAAGGTATTTCTACCTTGTAACTTATTTCTACAAATTGCT